AGTGAGAATTAAATACTTATTTTTACATATACACAAGGTATGCTGTGAAAGCATATTTACTTATAAACATATAAAAATACTTGTTAACTAGTTTGATAAGAAAATAATGTATAAAAGTATATAGCAAAAACATTAATCCTGAGTCTGGAAAGATCAATTCCACATTTTATATTATATCAAACAAAAAGTTTTAATTTTTTTGAATCCCTTAACCAGAAATACTTGAAAATGAAGACAGACAGAAATTACTCACTCTTACCATTAGCAAGAGTGTGAAAAGCATTAAATTAAGAAACTAGAGTAAAATGCCTAAGTCCAGAATGGGTCCAAATATTTGGCCACATAGAATATTATCATCTTCAAGAGGAGGAGTAATAACAAAGGCTTCATTAAGCGTTTTTTAATCCATAAACACAACAGACATTTTGGTATTTTTGGCCACTGGAAAACAAAAGCTGTAGCATCAGTAAAGGTCTATGATGTCTCCCTTTTGTAGATTCCATTCAATGCATTTAAGGTTAAAGTTGACATCAAAATTTTTAAGGATAGGCAAAAATTCACATAAAAAAACCCTCCTTATGTTTCTATTTAGAGTAACAGTAGGCAATATGATTAAGAAGTTGATGCAACTGTTTCTTTTCTTTTTTTTTCTTTTCTTTTTCTGGTACCGGGGATCGAATTCGGGACCTTGCGCCTGCACGGCAGGCGCTGGAACCACTGAGCTAAATCCTCGGCTCCAAGAAATTGAAAAGTATTTCACAACCTATGACTTCAGCTTGGCAAATAACTTCAGTTCCAAAACTGATTCATCCCTAATAAAACGTAAGCCCTTAAAAAAAGAATGTGTCTATGTATGTAGACAGTATTTTAGTCTGATGGGGTTTTTTGGTTTTGTTTTTGTTTGGTACCGCGGATCGAAGTCGGGTCCTTGCGCTTGCGCAGCAGGCGGCGAAACCACTGACCTAAATCCCCGGCCCTGTAGACAGTATTTTAAAGGAATCAGATAATCTCTGAAGCAGCCTTAGTGTTTCCTTTAAATTGATCTGGAAAGGACCATTGTGTTAGCTTTGTGGAAAGAATTAGCTGGCTTCTTGGTCTAAGGCTAACACGGTGATCATTTGTCTAAGGCTAGAAAGGCACCAACGTGATGTAAACCACAAGGAGAGGAGATGAGGGCTTTCCTTGGCAGTTGGCAGCTAAAACTGAAGGGATTCTTAGAAAATGACACAATGGCAGCCTTTCTTGTATTTCTCTTTCCGTGTTGGTTCTGGGGAAGGAGGACATTCTTCTCTTGAAATTTCCTCATAACCCGAACAAGTTCATGGAAAGCTTGATCTACATTCATCCTAATCTTTGCTGACGCCTCCATGTATGTTACCTTAAGTTGCCGTGCTGTTGTCCTTTGTCCTGTGTTACCTGCCTTTGATGATCCAGGTCCGCTTTATTACCAGTTAAAATCATTGGAAACTCATCGCCATCCTTTACTCTAAGAATCTGTCTTTGAAACATAGATTTCTTCAAAACTGCCTCTGTAACTGAAAAGACCAACAAGAAGCCTTCACCGGTCCTCATATACTGTTCTCTCATGGCTCCAAACTCTTCTTGTCCAGCTGTATCCAAAATTTCTAGCCGGGCTGCTCTGCCATCTGTCACACATTACTTTGTATAAGAATCTTCAATGGTTGGACCGTAATCTGTTACAAACTAGGACTGGATGAACTGGATGGTGAGCACCGACTTGCCCCCGGCGCCCCCCGCCCGGCCACTCTCCCGTGGCCCGCCGATTGCATACGTCCCCTAAGCGGGCCTAGCGCGGGCGGCGGCGGCCCCATGGCTACGGCCAGCTGGCGGGACGGCTCTGGCCAGGAGTACTGGCTCGTGGTGGTCGGCGGGGGCCGCCTAGAGGGCCGGCACGCGCAGCAGCGCGGGGCACCGCTCGAGGCGCGGAAGCGCTGGCGAGCGCAGAGCCAGGGTCGGCAGCGGCCCGAGGCGCGCACCACTAAGCTTCTCCGCAGCGCCTGCCGCACGGAGCCTCCAGTGCCGCTACAAATGCCCGTCTCTGTTCTTTTAAGTTTTAAGGGTGGTTTATATACATTCTAGATACGAATTTCTTATCAGATGCATAATTTATGAATACAGTTGTCCTCTGGTATCTGTGGGGAACTGCTTCCAGGACTTCCTGTGGATACCTAACATCTCAGATGCTAGTCTCATATAATGTGACATAGTATTTGCATGTAACTTATGCATATATTCTTATATGTATGTTCCCTCCCACCCCCAGTACCATTTGTCTAAAAAGTCCATTCTTTTCTCGTTGTTTTGGCAACCCTGTCAAAAATCAATAGTCCATACATGTAAGGATTTCTTTTTAATTTTTTGAGACAGGGTCTCATTAAGTCACTGAGTTACCCACAGTAGGCTTGAAATCAAGATCCTCTTGCTTCAGCCTCCCAGAGTGCTGGAGTTACAGGCATATTCCATCATACCTTACTCCCAGTCCTTTTTCAAAATTCCTTTTGGGACAGGGCCTTGCTAAGTTGCTCAGGCTGGCCTCAACCTTGTGATTATCCTGCTTCTGCCTCCTCAGTACTTGGGGTTACAGGTGTTCATTACCATGCACAGCAGGGCTTTCACTTTCTTGATAGTTTTTTTTAAGCAATTTTTATTTTGGCAATTTGTGTTTTGGTATTATACCTAAGAATACATTTCCCAATACAAGTTCATTAAAATTTACCACTATATTTTCTTCTAAGAATTTTAGTTTTAGCTCTTTAGGTCTTTGAACCATTTTGAGTAAATTTTTCTATGTTGTGAGTTGGAGGTCCAATTTTATTCTTTTGCATGTGGATATCCAGTTGTCTCAGCATCATTTGTTCAAAAGTCTATTCCTTTTTCACTGAATTATTTTGGCACCCTTGTCAACAACACCATTTGTTTAAAAGTCCATTCTTTTCTCATTGTTTTGGCAACCCTGTCAAAAATCAATAGTCCATACATGTAAGGATTTCTTTTTTTTTTTTTTTGGTGCCGGGGATCGAACTCTGGTCCTTGCACTTGCGCAGCAGGCACTGAAACCACTGAGCTAAATCCCCAGCCCCCCCCCCTTTTTTTTTGAGACAGGGTCTCACTATGTAATTCAGGCTGGCCTCAAACTCACAGCAATCCTCCTGCCTCAGCCTCCTGAGTGCTGGGACTACAAGCTTTTTTTTTTCAATTCTTCTTAGTATGAATGTATATGTCCTGCTTAAAATTAATGCATTGAAATCTCAATCTCTAAGGTGATGGTAATAGGAAGTGAAGCCTTTAAGAAGTGATAAGGTCATCAATGGGAGTAATGCTTTTATAAAAGAGGAATGAGGGGGTCGGGGATTTAGCTCAGTGGTTCCACTGCCTGCCTCGCAAGCACAAGGTCCGGAGTTTGATCCCTGGTACCAAAAAAAAGAGGAATGAGGGTCACCCCTTCCACCACATGAAAACGCAGTAAGATGATTCCTTCTGTAAATGTCAAAATGAGCCCTTTAAAGATACCAAATATGCAAATGCCTTGATCTTTGACTTCCACCTTCTGGAACTGTGTGCAATTTTAGCTGTTTATAAGCCACTCTGTTTATATTTTGTTATAGCAGCTCAAACAGACTAAGTCAACTCCCAATACTATTTCATTGATGAATATATCTCTCTTATGCCAGCACCAGTCTTACAGGGTCTCACTGTATACTTCAGGCTGGCTTTGAACTCACTGTGTAGTCCAGGCTGGCCTCAAGCTTGATGTGATTCTCCTGCCTCAGCCTCCTGAGTGTTGGGATTACAGGCATGTACCACCACACCGGGCTACATTGTCTTACTATAGCTTTATGTAAATTCTGAGAGTGAGATGTGTGAGTCCTCCAACTTCAAAAATATTTTCATTTAACTCTTTTTTTTTTTTGGCACCGGGGATTGAACCTGGGTCCCTGCACTTGCGAGGCAGGCAGTCAAACCACTGAGCTAAATCTCTGGCCCCTTTCATTTAACTCTTTAATGCAACTTTGGGTAATAGGTATTATCCCTGTTTAACACATGAGGAAACTAAGACTTAGAGTAGTTTAGCTAAGGACACAAAAATATCTGATGGCTACCCCAATTATACTTAGATCGACAATAGATATGCTTCTTCTATACTGTAACCCCAAATTACTTTCCAGACTTTATTTATATTAATCCTTCCATGTATTCTAAAATTTCCCCTTCCTAAGCTTCTCTGCACCTAACCTTCTGTTCCTATTTTTCCTTTCATCTGGAATGCTCTGCCCTTTGTTTCATAAAATTCTAATTCACAATACTTTCACTATCAGTTAGCAAAGTGATTTCCTTTTCACCCTATTTCCTTAGCATTACAAACTTCTCTCATGTTTCTTATTGATTATTCTATTCTTCAATAAAGGTATCTCTATAGACATATTATTTCTCTCCTTAGCTTAAGAATAAGGATCATCTCTCATTCATCTATCTTTCCAAAGCAATAATACCATGTCTTTCACATAGCAAGTGTTAACTGTTTTAAATGAATAAGTGAATTCAAAATTACCCCCATGTAAGAGTAGGCACTGAGAGTACATATGTATTTATTGGGGTGACAGGTTGTATGTCTGTATGTAAAAATGGCAAGGTTGTAGAAATGAATACCTAGGGAATTTCCTAATCCTGAGAGTTTGATAAGAGAAAGATAACATGAGACAAGTGTGTGGGAGAATGGCAGCCCCAAACACAAAGCTGATACTAATCTTCCATTTCAAAGTATTGTGTGCAAGTGAGTAATACTTGCAAGAAACAGGATAAAACAAGTGATTTAAGAAGTGTCAAAGTAGTTTGGGACAGTGTGAGAAGCACCAGTAGTCCCAGCTACTTGAGAGGTTGAGGTAAGAGGATCACTGGAGCCCAAAAGTTCAGGGTCAGCCTGGACAACATAGTGAACCCCCTCCATCACTAAAATAAATAAGTAAACAAAAACAACAATAAAAAATCCTCAAAACTGAATTTATTGTAGTACAGAACAGGAGATAACTCCAATGAATTCAGGTAAAGTTTGATATAACCTGGGATAACTCAAATATACCACCAGGTCCATTTTAGGGTCAGAATTCCCCAAAAGACAATAGGAAAATGAGACATTTCTTGGGAGGAGGGGCAGCAGGAAATATGAGGGTTCCAATACTTACAACCTTCCCTATATTCCCAAAACTTTCCTGATGTCCATTTTCTCATCACTTTCAAGTCATCAACATCTCCATTTTTTAACCCCAATTGCAGGATACGAAGAATCATTTTCAGAAGAATAAGGTAGTTCACATTCTTCTCTTCAGTGCTATCTGGTTCCAGTCAAAGGTACAATTTACTCACAAAGGAAACTATTAAGAACTCCAGACTCTGGAGACTGACACCAGGGCTTTTTGCCACCTACTAAATCTAGAATCCTATCTTAGAAGCTACTTGTGGCTAACCTCTTAGAAATAAGTTACATCATACTAGTGTTCTCATTCAGCTTAAGACTTTTTACCTGGACAGTCAATGAGATTTAGAACAAAGTATGTTTCAGTGTTGGCAACAACTTGGCATGTGCAGTATAATCTTATCACAGCTTTCCCATTTTCCAGGAGTCTAGTGAGGATCTGGCTCAGCCATTTAAACGCCACCATCTATGTTCTCTTCTAATTGCCTCTTATCTAGCTGCCAGGAGCTCCCACGAAACATGATGTAGTAGGCACTGCAGTATACTGGCTGCTTGTTGGGGTTGGAATAGACCTGTTCAGGCTTGAGGGATGCGAAAGGATTAGCTCCACAGGCAATGATATGTGTATCCAGGTCCACCAGAATCTGCAAAGAGGCTGCCAATTCCTGATGGCTATGGGAGAGAGATAAGAAACACTGTTCTACTGATTATGACAGACAGAGAGAGGGAGAGAAAGAGCTAACAGCAATTGCTCAACAGCATGACATTTCTTTACTTATCAATTCCAAAAATTACCCAGGGACTAGGTAAGGACTACCCCTTCCTCCCAAATGTCTCACTAAATCTGTAAATAAGCAGCATAGGGGATGAAAAGGCCAAACAGGGGAAGGAAGAACATTGTCACAAGAAGGTAGATAAGCAAGGGGAAGCAAAATAAACCCTTCCATATAAAGAATGCTATGAGTGCATCAGGGAGGTATCACAAATAGATATAGGTCAAAACCTGTAGACGGTAAGCAATGTAGGGATCTTATAGTCACGAAGTAGCAGCAAGGTAGGTAGCCAAGTTTCCATCAAGGTTGGGGAGGCATGGAAACCTATGGAAGAAAAATAGAAATGGAAATAGCCAGGAGAAAGACTGAAATAGACCTTATGATCAAGACACTTGTTTCAGTGTGTCTACTCCAACCCTCATGTTGCTCATCATACTCATCATCATCATCATCCACCCCAGGTTCTCAAGTGAAAAATTCTAAACCCTAGTGCAGTACACATAGCAAATGATGAACCAATGTTATCATCACATGGTGTTTAACAAGCTCAAATGAACAGGGTTCCAAAGATTAAAAAGATACAAGAATCAGGATAGAAAATTCTCAGGGAGTCACCTAGTATTCCTGTGAAGCAATGGCTCTTACCTGGATGGAAAGCCACTGCCATATCTGGATGGGCTATCTGCCCAGTCTCTACATGTTCCTCCCAGAAGTCATGATAGAGGCCCCTGTGGCCACTAAGAAGAATGGTGCCAGTTTCTGGAGTTGAAGATCCAGTGCTCTGTAAAAAGCTAGTAGCCACATCTATACCCACCATGATCACATGGAGGCCAAGATGTCCAGGAAACATATAGCCAAGCTCATTATAGTCCCCAGATCCAGTAAGAAATGTCTCCACATGGGAAGCACCAACCACATGCACTGTGCTTCTCCCAGTCTTTCCACTGTTTATGCCCAGGGCCCTAAGTCCTAGGCCCAGTGTCAAGGGCCGTGACAGGGTATCTGTCAGCAGCCGCTTCAAAGACCCCTGCAGAACATCTGGCTCTGGCCTTGGCCTTCCTACACTGGCCCAGAGGACGGTCATGGCATGGCTACTTAGCACAGCATCCAGTGTAGCCTCTAGCTGTAACCCTCTCATAGAAAACCAAGTATCCCAGTCCTGTACAACATCAGCTGGCCATGGCCAAGGTCCTGAGGGTAAGACAAAATCACCTGTAAGAAAGAAAGAATAAGAAGTAGCCTAATCCTTCCTTAGCTTCAAAGTTCCCTCCTCACTAATGAGCAATAATCTCTCCATGTTCATTCTGCCAACATGTGACCTCAAGTAACCTATCCCTTCCTAGTTCCTTATTTTTCCATCATAACAATATGCTTTCATATCTTTAACCACGTACAACCAACTGTGGCCATTATGGCAGAGTTCCCCAGCACCACCACTCCACCTGTGACCAGGAGCCATTCCATGAGACGATCCACAGCCACAAGACAGAGCTCTTGACAAACCTTCCTGTGTTCAGGCCAGTCTGACCTCTGGCACTCTGGGCCACAGTAATACACATTTCTGCACCTAAGAGAATAAGCCAAAGAAATAGATATAACTCAAACCCAACCTCCTCAGAACACAGGTGATCTTATCACTTGAGTATAGTAACTCTCTAACTCTTGAATGAGTTCCATTCCAGGAGAACATTCGTAAGTCAGATTTGTTTGTAAATCTGACAAAGTGCGTCTTATACACCTCTGACACAAATATACAGTGTAAAGGATAAAAAACCAAACACACATAAAAATACTGTAAATAATTTTTACTTTTACAGTTACCTTAAAATGGTAAGGTTAGCTGGGCATTGTGGCACACACCGGTGATCCCAGCACTTAGGAGGCTGGGGCAAGGAGGATCACTGTAAATTCGAGGCTAGCCTGGACTACACAGTGAGTTCAAGGCCAGCCTGTACTAAGAAGGGAGACCTTGTCTCAAAAACAAACAAACAAAAACGAAACAAAACAAAAATGGTAAGATAGACACCTGAGCTACTTCCATGATTTGTTCACATCTACAAGTGTCCGTAATTTGAGGTCCTTTTGTACCTGGGAAAGTTTGCAACTTGAATGTTCGTAAGTCGGGATTTAACTATACTCAAAAAAAGAGAGTAGAGTATATTTGTTTGCTTGTCTTATCTCCCCACAACACCAAAAATATGTAGGATCACAACTATATTCCAATCTCTCTGTAGCTTGAGTCAAACAAAATGAAGAATAAGACTTAAATTATTCTGAAATCTGAATTTCCTCTTGAAATAAGGACCTAACATACGGTTATTTCTGAATGTCTCCCCTATTAGCATGTCACAAATCACCTCTTACAGTGCCGGAGGACCTTGGAGTCTGAAAGGCCACTAGGTAGTGCTCTACAGTGAGCACAAAATCGGAATGTGTCCTCCAACCTCTGGAACATTTCTTGAGGACATCGAAATCCAAAGCCTGATACAGGGGTACCCCCATCTACCACCAACCTGCAGAAACAACATGGAAAAGTAGCAATAGGGAAAAGTATATCTCCAAAATCTCTCATTTCCCTTACTTTGTCTCCTATACATTTTCACATGCTCTTTCATCTCCCACTCCCATAATTTCTTTCTTAAGTAAATTCTGTTTCTTCTATTAATATTAAAACTGACAAGTCAGGATGAGACAATCTCTCATTACAAATACCTAGGATGAGAAAATCTCTCATTATAAATGCCTACTATTACCCAAATTATACTTCCCCTTCACCTTCTGAAATCACTTCTACCAAAGACAATATCTCTCTTACACAGAGCTAGTCACTCACTTATATTCTTCATAGCTTTTCATGTTCAGCTTTTGAAGGATCAGCTTCGATAGGCCAGGAACATTATTATCCAAGGAGAAGAAGCCAAGTGCATCAATGCTAGGGCCAGGTTTTTCAAGGGTCAGAGGCACAGGAGTCACAACTGTGGGTGAAGTTACAACCATAGGAGCCACTGATGGAGGTTTCTTATGCCTGCGTCGCCGTAAACGTGGAGCCATGGCCTGTCCAATGATACCTGGGGACTACATGCAAAATAGATATTGAGTGGAATTTGGCAAGTTGGACACAATACATTTTCAGGCACTTGACCTTTGACTTCTCATTCTACTCTCTCAGACCTAAGTTAACAGAGTAAGATTTATTTAGAATTTATGGATTACCAATCACCACAGGCAGTTGTGAAAAAGAGAAAGAATTATGTGTAAATATAATTTACACGTGTTATATATGAAGTTCTATATACAATTTTATATGTAAGTGAATGAACAGAAAAGGTCTGGCAGGACTCTTAGAAAACTAGTAATAGTGATTAACTCTGAGTAGGGGAAGAAGACAGTGAAATAGGAACTGGGTTGATCAAAGGGGATTTCCCTATCTGTAAACTTTTTTTTTTTTTGATACCAGGGATCAAACTCAGGACCTTGCGCTTGCGAGGCAGGCGGAGGCACCACTGAGCTAAATCCCCAGCCCTATAAACTTTTTTATAAGGAGACTACATTCATATATTAGTGTATAGTATTTATATTCATTTTAAAGGAACTGCTATCACATATATAAGCAACAAATCAAAAACCACAAATTAAATGCAATATAAAATGAGCACAACAATGCTAAGAGTTATATAGTTAAAATAAGTCAGGCAAATTATGAAGAAAATTTCCTATGAAGTTAGGTTTTGAAGTAGAATTAAGGCTATACCCACTACCTAGTTGAGACTATGTGATGCCCAATTTTCCTGTCTTGTCTTCTCCCATGCCTTCCATAAGGGCTGAGTAGACAAAAGGGATCATATTGGAAAAAAATTAAACATTCACTCCTTCAAAATATATTTATTAATAAACAGATAAAAATACAAAATGCCAAATACTATATGGAAATAAATATGAAGACTATACATCTCATCTGAATGTCTTATAGGGAAGATTAGATGTAAACTATTAGGTAATATATAAAGTCTCTAAGAAAACTGAAACAAAAGCTCTAATGGGAGATCAGAAGAAGAAAGTCTCTTCAGTGGATAAGCTACAGAAGACTTCATGAAGTAGACAGCAGCTGGAATTGACCTTGAAAAATGGGAATACTTTGAATATATTAAGATGGGGAAAAGGGAATTCTAAGTACAGAGAAAAGCATGAGCATAGAGATGAACACAGGAACATTTTGAAAATTAACTAAATAGGATAATTTGAGTTTGAATATTATGTTTTTAAACATAAGAGCTAAATACAGAAGTCTCAGAAGAAAACAAGGAAAGCTTCATGACATGAATTTGGCAAAAATTTCTTAGATATGACACTACAATTGCAGGCAACACAAGAAAAAATAGATAAATTGGACTACATTGAAGTTAAAAACTTGTGCACATCAAAGGATACCCCTGGGCTGGAGGTGTAGCTCAGTAGCAGAGCACATGCTTAGCATGTATGAAGATCTGGTTTCTACCTCTAGCACCACAAAAAAACAACAGGACACTAGCAGAGTGGAATGACAGCCTACAGAATGGAAAAAAAAATATTTGCAAATCATGTGACATAGAATTAACATCCAGAAAATATAAAACAACAAAAAAAATCTAGTTAAAAAATGGGCAAAATACTGTATTTAAATAAGTATTTTCCACAGAATATATGCAAATGGCAATAAACACAAGAAAATATGTTCATTAATTAGGGAAATGCAAACCAAAACCACAATGAAATATCACCCAGTAGGATGGCTATTGTTAAAAAAATACAATACAGTTAGTACTGATGAGCATGTAGAGTAATGGGAAACCCTGTGCATTGCTGGTGGAAATGTAAAGTGGTGCAAGCACCACAGAAAACAGTATACCATTTCCTCAAAGAGTTGGACCTAGAAATACTATATGAGCCAGCAGTTTCGTTCTTAGGTATATATCCCTAAAAACAGATACCTAAACAAATGCTTACATGAATATTCATAGCAGCACTATTCAAAAGATAAAAACTACTCAAAGGTCCACCAAAGGATAAATGGTTAAACAAGTTGGGACCATATATATATATATATATATATATATATATATATATATATATATATATCTTTATTCTCTATCTCTGAGAGAAGAGAGAAATATCATTCAGCCATAAAAAGAAATACTGACATGCTAAATAAACCTCAAAACATGTTAAGTGAAAGAAGCCAGACATAAGCAGTTATATGTTATATGATGCCATTTATATGAAATATCAAGAACAGGTCAACTGAGAAAGCAGACTGGTAGTTGCCAGGAACTGGGTGAAGGGGAAATAGGGGAAATGAGGAATGACTCCTTAACAATTATAAAGTTTTCTTTTCCTCCTCCTCCTCCTCCTCCTCTTCCTCTTCCGTATGTGTGTGTGTGTGTGTGTGTGTGTGTGCGTGCGCTGCTAGAGAATGAACCCACAGCCTCATGCATGCTAGGCAAGTGCTCTACCAATGACCTACATCTCCAGCCCGGGATTTTGTTTTGAGAATGTTTTGGAATTAGACAGAGGTGGTGGTTGCACAACGTTGTGAATGTACTAAATCCCATTTAATTGCTAATTTAAAATTGTTTTATTATGTAAATTACACCTCAAGAAAAAAAGAAAGGAAGAAAGGCATCTGTAAGCATTGAGAGGCTAAAAAATTATTAATATCCAGATTACCTGCCTCCCAGACCAGAAAAATGATAGAGGATAAAAACACTGGCAACGGTTGGTTTTACTGTGAATGATGTAACAAAGTTCAAATCAGAGATCATGTTTTGTTATGAAAACATCCTGACATTTGATCAAAAGACCTGACATTTAATCCTTTTGGACCATAACTATTAGGGGGAAAAAGACCCAAGAATCATCATGTAGATGAGGTTACATAGGTGGCAAAAAAACAAAACAGTCCCAGAATAATCCAGCTCTTGCAAACTAGTAAACCTCTGGCCTGAGGTTAATGGAGGAATGATTTGTTTTCCTTTTTACTTTCTTCTCATCCCTGTTTCCATCTATCCTGTCATTATCTCCCCTCAACTCATTGGTGAATGGATCGAGTCCATAGAACAAATCTCTTCTGTTTATCACAGTCTCTACATTACTACCAAAGAAACAGGACCTAATGATAACAGACTACCTTAAGGTTTAAAGGTCATGTCCTTTCACTGAAGAGTAGATGAAATTGCCATTCATACCTTTGAACTCCATTTTTAACAGTTAATCTGATTCTGCCCTCCATTTATTTTTATTTTTTGCAGTGGTACGGATCAAACATGGGCCTCATGTACACTAGGGAAGCACTCTGTTGCTGAGCTAAAACCCTAGTCCAACTGCCCTCCATTTTTAATCACTATACATTCTCAGTGCATTTCCAGAATCACTGTCATTATAGAAAAATCATTTATTTGCTCTGTCAGCCAATGCTCCCACCCGAGGTCAAAATAGTACCTTCTTGAGCCTTGAAAGAATGGAGCTTTTTCATTCTTTTTTAAAAAAAATAGTTGGAAGGAAAGTACCTTGATTTGAGACAATTTTAAGGTCTTAAATCCCTGGACTTACAATAAATATGTTTCTGATGCTAAACTAGAAGTGTTTTTGTTGCAATGGAAGCCAATTAAGATCAGAGAGGTATGGGCCAGGGATTTAGCTCAGTGGTTCCACTGCTTGCCTCAAAAGTGCAAGGACCCGAGTTTGATCCCCGGCACCAAAAAAAAAAAAAAAAAAAGATCAGAAAGGTACTGCACACTTAACTGCGCTTCTAAAGATATCTTCCTCAAAGGAAGATTAACTTTGCAATACAGTGGTTAAAAGAACTGACTAGAAGTTAAAAAGAAGCACAAAGCTCAGGGAAATGAAGTGATAATGGTTCAATTCCTAATACTATAATCGCTACTATGTCTGGAACATATAGCTGATCTATAGCACAAAGGTTCTGGTTTTCTGACAAGAAGGCAGGAATGAGGTTAAGTCTTTGCATCCATCTATCTATCTATCTATCTATCTATCTATCTATCTATCTAGATATACCTTTCTTCAGGCTCATGTCTGAGTTTCTGTATCTCAGACCCAGACACAGCTTTCCTGTTTCTAACTTTTGCAAAGTGCCTCAGTCTCTTCCAAGTTCAAGGGGTATAAATTGACAGAAGGAAAAAGACAGGAAACACAAGGGTGAAGCTGGAAAAAATTAAGAGTAAGCTCTTAAAATTTAACACAGTGCAGGGACTGGGGATTTAGCTCAGTGGTTCTGTCACCTGCCTCACAAGCGCAAGGTCCCAAGTTTGATCCCCAGTACTAAAAAAAAAAAAAAAAAAAAAATTAACGGAGTACAGTTTACCTAGAAAGAGAATCACTTTTTTTCTAGCCATACTCAGTAAGTTGAAACCAGAATCGTGGAACAAATTCTGCAACCAGAATTGTGAAAAGAAGTTAGTGAACTGAGGTACCACTATGTAACATTCCTACTGTATGATAAAGAAACACCAAGAACTGAAGAGGAGATATGAACTACATTATCTAAAAAAACTGTCATTCTTCACCTCCAATTTACAAATCAAAATATTAAACCTATTCCTAGACCGAAGTCTCCCAACTTTCTCTTTCCTTACAACTGAAAACCCTCAATTTTATCTAAGTCACTGATATTGTTCCACTATTTCCAGACCAAGATGGCCATCTGATTTTCTCTAATTCACCAGCAAACACCAAATATCTTTGAGGAGGTGAGGAGAAGGGGGAGTAAAGCTGGTTATTAAGGATCACAAAAGAGGTTGAGAAAGAGAAAAAAAGAAAAGAAATATATTAAGAACATTGCTATTATGACCACATTCAGCTGCTTAATCAGTGATTAACACTCCCTTGGGTGACGAATACTTACTCAATTATAAACTAAGCAAGCAGACAGGTTGACGGGAAAGTAACTTACCCTGCTAAGCCCTGGGCTTCCTTCCTTCTCTCTTCCCTCCAAGTGAAGTGAGTGCTTGATCTCCTCAGATTTAGGTTGTGGCTTACTTGCAGCTGTCCCTTCATATCAATTTCTTTGCAAACTGCTGAAATGATATGTCTTGGTGATTAAGTGTGCCCTGCCAACCAGACAGACAAGGCTGAATTCTCCCTAACGAGGCAAGTAAGGAGCTGGACCACTGCCCAAGGACTTCTCTCTTTCTGACCCTTATTCTCTGCCAAGAGGGCTCAAGACTCTGTCAACACTCCCAAACTTACCCAAAAGCCTGGCAGGCTGAGGAAAGATGAAACCTACTGCTTCCTGGACTCTTTTCAAGGCAGTATTTCTGTTCTCAGTTTACATCTTCAAAAAAACCCAAACAAAACCCTTGGGATTAGTTCAGAAGTTAGTATTGGTTGGAAAGGATAGGCACTAGCCTGGAGAAACTGGAATCCCTGGAGTTCCTGGATGTCAATATAGACCCAGGATGAGTTCCCCCAAAGCCAATGTCCTTTTTTAGTTTAACACTGCTCAAAAAGAATTCAATAAATTCCGATCTAGGCTTAAGTATAAATTTAATTACCTGAGGAAGGAGCAGAGAACGGTCATTTAATAGTAATCAACTGCAGGAGAAACAAGGAGAATTTATTTGTAAAAAATTCACATTTTCTGAAAGAAGAGTTAGGTATTCTCTAAGAGTGTCACCAGTGGCATTCCACCTATTTCAAAAAAGAAAAAAAGTTTCTGGAATATAAGCTCAACATTTTATTTAAAACTAAAAATGCATAATATTTCTAGGAACAGAAAATGGAAATGAATCAACTCAAACATCCTTTCATTCCTTCTTGTAATGGCTGTTGACCCAGGACAGTCCTAGCTCCTTTCTCCTCAAAGCTATTGAGCCGTACAATCTATCAGAAGTTGTTAGGGCAGTGATCCTGTATGACTGCAGGACCTGACTTTCTGCTTACATTTGACCCCAGCTGTCACTTACCTGTCTCTGAACATCATCAAAAGGGGGAACAGAACCTCTTGCAATAAGGCCCTGGAATGTGGCAACAGGTCGAGGGGTTTTTGTTGTTGTTGTTTTTGTTTGGGTACTGAGAATTAAACCCAGGGCCTTTGTACCAAACTACATCCCCAGCCCTTTTATAAATTTTGAGACAGGGTCTCACTAAGTGACTAAGCTGCCCAGACTGGGCTTGAACTTGTGATCCTCGTGCCTCAGCCTCCCACAAGTGCTGGGGTATACAGGCATGTGCCACCATGAACAGCTAAATCCATATAGTTTTGAGGCATTCCACTGGAACCCCAAACTGTAGAAAGCACAAACTATAGCAGGGAAGGTGAAAGAATCATGTTAAGGAGTCAATGAAACATACAGCATTATGAAGAATAGCTTTGAATAAAGAAAACTCAGTGATAATAGGCAAAAACCCTGAGTAAAATAGGGATGATTCATTCTAAGCAAAACTTTCAGGACAACTTCAAATTTAACAGGCTTCAAAATTTAAGTGCAAACTCCAAAGAGATTATATGAGTTGTGTTGCTAATGGCTGAACTGCAGAAGGTACAAGAAGCCAAGAGATTGACTCTGCTAATTCAAACATGTCATCTTGGGATATAAAAGAGAATGATCGAAAAATTTTGATGTTGAATATATTTCACCATCACTACTACTTGCACTGGTAGATATTTAAGTGACAATTTAAAAGATCTGTACTTTTTACAATTTGCATTCATCATGAGTTGCATTAAAAATATCTAAATACTTAACAAATGGTTATAAAGCAAAGACTTCAAAGAGGTTTCTATTCAACAAGCAGGAAGTGGTCTGTGAGGCGGCTGAGTGATTACCACTCTTTGTGTATACTGCTTTTTCTGAGTTATTTTCTTTTCTTAATTTTTACCATCAGCCTAAAATTCTCTAGTTTGCTAATGATGTTTTATGCTTCCCATAGCTCCCAGAAATGCTATATATCCTTAGTGATGAATCTAAGGGCCAAAGAAGTTCCTGGGACCCAATACACTAGTTAAATTCCTACTTTAGAAATGCATAGCTATCACAAAACACTAACATTAAAAAAAAAAATCTTTAAGGTACGCAGTGTATAATAATTTTTGAGGCAGTTCATGAACTGAATTGCAAGTTAGTATGATAGCAAATAGAACCTGTAGTAATCAGTAACTTGAGAAGTTCTGCTTTTTAGCTGGAATTAGACAGGTGTATATATATTATTTTTTATAGAAATTTATACCTTATAATGTATAATTATTGTTCATGCTGCACATGAGAAACCCAACATACTACAACTTAAAGAGCAAAATAAAAGACAGATAAGAAACAGGTGTGGACTCACCCCAGAAAGAATGGCTGCTATCAAGAAATCAACAAATAAATGCTGGAGGGGTTGTGGGGAGAAAGGAACCCTTCTCCATTGCTGGTGGGAGTGCAGACTGGTGCAACCACTGTGGAAGTCAGTATGGAGATACCTCAAAGAACTAGGACTACAGGTCCCACTTGACCCAGCTAATCCCTTGCTGGGTATCTTCCCAAAAGAATTAAAAGAATCATACCACAGTGATATATGTGCACCCATGTTCATAGCGGCACAATTTGTAATAGCTAAAGCTTGGAAGCATTCCAAGTGCCCATCAACTGGAAACTGGATAAAGAAAATGTGGTTTTTTTATAAAATGGAGTACTACTCAGCCATAAGGAACGAAAAACTAGAGTCATTTATAGCTAAATGGATGCAATATCAAGGCCATACTAAGTGAAATAAATAGGACACACATGTGTAAATACCAAATAGTTTCACCAGTGTGAGAAACTGATAGTGTAAACAAGAGTTAAAATGATTAAAATGAATAATTGATAATTTGAAATAGGAAAAAAGGTCCAAAGACGAAGGAGTGAAGGGAGGGGAAGAGGAAAGGAAAAGAGGGAAAGGAAAAACTATGAGAAAAGAAAAAAAAAATGGAAATGAAATCTATGTAAATAGGGAAGGGCGGAGGGAGTGAAGGGTGCACAGGTAATGGGGAAAAAAAAATAAGAACCAAGATATATCATGTACAGGTACAAACACCCAATGATAAACGTAAACGAATAATTGTATACCTAAAATGTACCAATAAAAAAACTAAAAAACTAAAAAAAAAAAGAAAGAAAGAAACAGGTGTGGAGGGCCAGGGATTTAGCTCAGTGGTTTTGCCACCTGCCACGCAAGCGCAAGGACCCGAGTTCGATCCCCGATACCAAAGAAAAAAGAAAGAGGTGTGGAGATGGAAAGGGGATCTGGGTATAAAGGGAGACAGAAGGAAAGGGAAGAGAAAAGGAAGTAAAATGGATCATGATGTGATATGTATATGTACCAACTCTCCATGGTGAATGTATTTAATATATATCACAAACATACTAATAAAAAATTAAAACAAAACAAAAAAAACTACAATTAAATTATTTTACAAAATGTGTGCAGTACTCTAATTTCCCTCAATTTGCAAAATCCTATACTTACTTTGATTATAACAAGGAGGAGTGTGATGGCAAGAAAATCCAGTATTGTTAATAATTTTTTTTGCTTGTTGTTAAAACATCCAATAATTTCCCAGTACCAATACAATAAAATTCTGAGTAAGAACATTTTCTTTCAACTAACTGTTAATGAAAATAGTGATTTTAGGGCTGGGGATTTAGCTCAGTGATGCTGCACCTGCCTTACAAGCCTGAGTTTGCCTGAGTTCGATTCCTGGTACCAAAAAGAAAATAGTGATTTTAAATATATCTAGGAGAACTAGAGTAGGCATCCAAAGTCCTCTAGTGCGCAGTTACTAATGCTCATGTGAAAAAAAACAAAACTTAAGGGGAAAAAAAAGTTGATGAAGACAACGATTTAATTCATCGAATCACCATGAACTATCCATGAGATAATCTCTGAAGAATATCCCAGCTCCATTAACAGAATTTTTTGATTTGCATAAAAAGGTCAAATGAGACTGCATCTTCCAAATAAAACCCAACACATAGATAGGAGCAGCGGCCCATGCATGGAATTTATTGTGTGCTATTGTTTATAAAATACTCGAATAGTCCTGGACATGCATATTTCCAACTTAGACAGGAGACCATACAGGGTGCACTTTCTGGCAAACAAAACAATAGACGGTTCCGCTGCCTGGAGCTTTGAGTTGTATTCCAGGGCATGAGGGAAGCAGGCCACCAAAGTAAAGGGAAATACCAAACTACAGTGGCAATCAATACAGATCAATAATTGTGTAAAATTAGCACATGGTTCCATTTAGTTTAACCAAGCAGTTCTGTAACTATCAAAAGAAAAATTTCAACATGCAGTCTTGACTTTTATGCTTCCACTAACATCTGAAAGATTGAACAGAACCATTGTTTCTAGGCTGCATTGCTTAATCAAAAACACTTCCAGAACATTTAAATTTTCCTTTGCATTAAAACATAAAAATGATAGAAAGCCAGCAGCAAATCACCCTGGTGGCTATTTAAGTAACTGGAGTACTCACAATAAACTAAAATTTCTCATAACATCTAGGTAACCTATACATGTCGTACCTGTACATCATAGGTCTATATATTAAATATTTGCAAAATGAAAACATGCATACACAAAATACGTCAAGTTTTACAGACATGATTTGAATTAAAATTTACTTTGACAATGTACAAACTTCTTTTAAAGTACCTTAAGTGAGTAATTCTGTAATTCTTCATAATTTTGAAATTTAGAGATTTTCTTCTTAAATCTCTGGGGTGTAAATCTCAAAAGATCTGGGCAAAAAAGATTCTAAATTAGTTTTTTTATTTCTGTTGAAGTAAGAGTATTTCTAGAAATAGTTTATTCATAATCGAAAAATATCAAGACTATGTTACAGAATTAGCCACAATTAAGAACTCTAGACCTGAGGTCAGCATTTTGTATAAACACCAACTGGGTTTCTCAGCATTTTGCCTACAATTCAAAATACAGCTAGTAACCTCAGAAATATATTTTAAGACCATGCTAATTCATCCTTTAATGACATTTCATTGAAAAAAAAAAAAGTCCACATTAACTCTTAGGATTGCATTTGAAGTCATGATTGAAAAAAAAAAAGCTAATTCTACTTAGGGAAAAAAGAAATCTCATTTGTAAACTTAAATGTGTGAACCACAAGCATAAATGGAGGTGTAGATGCCCTCCACTGGGAATTGCCCCAAGCCCCTTGCTCACTACTCTCCACCTTGGCAGCGATGACCCAATCTTATCAGATAGCACATGTCCCAGGGCCCTCAAGCCTCCATCCAGGAAGGGGGCTAGGGACTCAAAAGCACAATGGTTTCTTCAGAGGGACTGTAACATTTATAGTCAGCTTGGCCAACCCCTCCAGCTCCTCGGGTGATTTGTCCATTTGGGGCCCGAGTTGCGAGAGTCCCTGGGAAGTCGATGGTCACTGGGCATTATGGTTGCCAGTCCCGTGGTTCTCAGTGGCATGTGCGGTGTTCAGAGAATTGAAACCATCTTGTTGTACAGCATCTTTCCGGGGTGGCATTCTCTCATTGATCCTATCCAAACCCTTTGCCTCTTCAAAACTGCAGATTCTATGTGGTGGAGAGAATCCTCGTATTGCTTAACAAAATGCAAATTTGATAAGTCAGTAATTGTAAAACAATTCTGAGATTTAAAAAAACATAATTAATGACTTTA